TCCAAACCCTCTTTCTTCTTTCTAACTTTCAACTGCTATTCCGACATGGAATCAGAGCAGGTCGACCCTCACGGGTCGATCCTGTGCATGGGCCCACCCAATACTTCCGCTGCTGCTAATCTGTCTATCGCGCGCCTCGGGCGCGCGCTGCCTGCCTGCCTACCTGCCTGCCGCGCGCCCATGGCGCGCGGCCATTTTTCTTCCCGCCGCGCGCCTGACCGTCGGGCCGCCCTTGGGGCCGCGCGACGCTCTCCTCTGCCCGTCGTGCGCCCCGTGGCGCGCGGCGGTGCCCTGCCTGTCGCGCGCCCCGGGGCGCACGGCGGTTTCGTCTCCCCGGAGGGGCTCGTGCGCGGCCCCCCTCGTCGCCTGTCGTGGCGCCATCGGGGGCCCGCGCGGCCCCGTCACCTGTCGTGGCCCCGTCACGGCCTCGCCCCAGCCCTGCCCCGTCGCTCGTCGCGGCCCCGTCGCGGCCTCGCCCCGGCCCTGCCCCGTCGCCTGTCGCGGCGCACCGGGGGCCCGTGCGCCGCCCCCCCCCCCCCCCCCCCCCCCCCCCCCCGTCGCCTGTCGCGGCACACCGGGGGCCCGCGCACCGCCCCCCCCCCCCTTCCCGTCGCCCGTCACGGCGCCCTGGGGGGGCCCTCCGTCTTCATCGTGGTGCCCTGCCCTACAGTTGCCCTGCCCCCCCCCCCCCCCCCCCCCTTCACCTCCCTTCCCGCCATCTCCGGCCCTGCCCTATGTTAGGGTTTGGGGGTGGCGAGTCGGGGGTGGCGGGTGTGCGGCCTCACCTGCTCCTCCTCCTCCTCCGTCTCCCACTGCTGCAGCTGCCGCTGAGGGGGGTGGGTGTGTGGGTGCCGACGGAGTGGTGCTAGGGGGTGGAGTGTGAGTGAACCTAGAGGTGCAGCAGGGGGTGTGTCATAGGGGGGTGGAACAGTTTGGGGAGGTTGTCGGGGGGTGGCCGCCGTGAAGCCAGCAGCTCCAGTCGCCCGTGAGCCCGTTGCGCCAGTCGCCCGTGAGCCCGTTGCTCCAGTTGCCCGTGAGCCCATTGCTCCAGTTGCCCGTGGATCCGTTGCTCCTGCCGCTCAGAGTTAGCCGCGGAGCCAGTTACTCTAGTAGCCCGTGAGCCAGTTGCTCCAGTTGCCAGTGTGCCTGTTGCTCCAGTTGCCCGAGTGCCAGTTGCTCCAGTTGCGTCGTGTGCCAGCAGCTTCAGCTGCCGCCCACTACCTCCTCTCCTCTCATAGTCCCTCCTCCTCCACACTTGCCCTCTGTGATAGCTTCTAGCTTTGCTTATTATTATTGTGAACTATTGCTTGCTTACTTGTGCTCAGAATGTGTGGTGACATTGTGATCCACCCTGAGCTTGTTTTTGCTTTGCTTTGCTTCTTGTGCTGATTACACCCCACTTTGGCTATGGGGGTGTGTCAGAATGTTATATTTGTCTAGCCTGCAGTGGGGTACTCAATAGTGAGTACAACCCAATCTAGGGTTTGCTATATGTACTCAACTGCTTGCTAGTCCAAACCCTCTTTCTTCTTTCTAACTTTCAACTGCTATTCCGACACCCAAATGCGGTTGGTGCCTGTTTTTACGTAATAGACTCCCTTGGCTTCTGCCATTTGCTGTGAATTTCCGGTCGTGAAAAATGGGTCGGTGCGATATCCGTGGGTGAATAGGCCTGTTAACAGTGGGTTTTTTTGGGCGAGTAGTATGGCGTGCAGTTGGGCGGTAGGGCGGGTGAGTGCGTCGGCAATATTTGATGCGCCTTTTTTGTACGTGACAGTGTAGTGGAAGTTGGACTCCAGATAGTCCAACCAGCGGATCTGTCGCGGGTTGAGATTCGGTTGGGCGCGGAGGTACTGTAGTGCACGATGGTGTGTCCGTACTGTCACGTTGGCTCCTGTCAGGTAGCACCGCCACACCTTGAACGCGTGCATGATCGTCAGCTTCTCGCAGTCATGTATCGGGTAGTTGCGTTTGGGCGGGTGAAGTTTGCGGGACTCGCACGCGATTGGCTGAAGGCCGTTCCCGAATTCCTGCAACAGTGTTGCTCCCACAACGATGTCACTTGCGTCGGTGACGAGCTCGAACGGAATGTGAGGATCTGCGATGCGAAGCACGGGCGGCGAGCACAAAAAAAAATTGAGGGCCGAGAAGGCAGCTTGCTCTTTCTCCCCCCACGTGTACTCAACCCCCTTCCTCAACAGGACGGTCAACGGGGCAGTCAACTTCGCCATGTCGGGGACGAAACGGCGCACGTAGTTGACGAACCCCAAAAAGCTCTGCAGCTCGGTCAAGTTTGTCGGCGCGTGCCATGCTTGAATCGTCGTGATCTTCTTCGGGTCTATTTCCACTCCTTCAGCTGAAATAATGTATCCCAAAAACTCCAGTCTGTCCTGTAAAAACTCACAGTTAGATGCTTTCGTCAGTAGGCGGTTCTCACTCTGTATTTTAAAAACTGCTTCAATGTCCTGTTGGTGTTGTGCTCTGTCTGGGCTGTAAATCAGTATGCCGTCGGCAACTGGCAGTCTCAGTTTTCGTGCCGTGGCGGTGTTGATCAGGCTGTGGCTGGCTCCCCCGTCTACGAATATTTTAACTAAGTCTGTCCCAATTTTCCCGCTAAGCAGTATGGGGCTGTCTACCGTAGTACCCTCCTTATTCGGCCAGGTGTGGTTGATTGCGTGAACCGCCACAATCACTCAGTGAGGGTCGGTTGGGTCGGGCGAGCGGCGTGACCTGTCAGTAGAGGGCCCGTCTGCTACTGACTCCCAGCGTTTCCTTGCTGCTTGGTCTGTTTCTGCTGCTCAGCTTCCCCCTTTCCCTTAGCGTTTTCCGGGCATTCGCTCTTGCGGTGTCCTGGCCGATTGCACGCGAAGCAGCGCCCTTTGAACGGTGCGGTAGTGGCATTCGCGGCGACGGCACATATCGTGGCGCCCTCGTTCGTCCCACGAGATTGATGTCCCCAGTTGCTGTTGCTTCCGTAGGACCCCGGCCTCGGTCGGCGAAAGAAGTCGAGCTTCTCCGCCATGGCGAGAATTTCCTGGAAATCGGTGACGCCGCGGAGCTGAATTTCTTGGGCGATATCATGCTTCAGGCCGCCGATGTAGCGGTCGATGCGCTCGCTTTCGTGCATGTAGCCCACTTGCTCACATAGCGCCAGGAACCCGCTAGTGTAGTCTTGGACGGAACCGAGTTGGCGCCAAGTGCGGAGCTTCTGACGCGCCGCGATCGAAGCCGCAATTGGCTCAAATCGAGCACGCAGACCTCCGCACCACGTGTCCCACGTGCGATATTGGGGCACCTCTACGAAATACGACGACGCCCAGGGTCCGGTTTGTCCTTCACGTGTCGGTAGAGTCGCGTAGTCCATCGGCTTCGTGACGATGACGCGCCACCAGTCCATGGCGGGTCCTCGCAGCAGCAACATGGCGTAGCAAATCTTCGCCGTATCATCTGAGTCGTAGTTGGCGTAAAAAAATACGTTCAACGTGAACAACCACGTCTGAATGGTAGGACCACCCCGTTGACTCGGGTCAAAGCATGGCGGACGCTGCGGCTTCAGCGGCATCGGTGACGGTAGTGCCGAATCATTGGTCGGTGCCGAAATTGTGACGCAAGGCTGGCTCCTGGCCGCATTCGTCGCTTCGGGGTGTGTCGTGTCGTGGTCGTCGTCTCCGTCATGGCGGACGACGCCATCACTGGCCGCGCTCGCGGGTTGCCCCACACTTCCGTGCTGCGATGCCTGTGGTGCAGGTTGTCCTGGAGTGCCAGGTGCTTGTGATTGTGCTTGCTGTGCTCGTGCGATGTCATTTTGCAGGGACGTGCGTTCGGCCGTCAGTGCCGTGATTTCTTCAGAGCTTTCGTGGAGTTGTCGGAGCAGCTCGTTCAAACGGTCCTGCGTGAGCGTCGTGACGTCGATATGTTCAGCCATAACGAAGGGCGTCAGCTCAGCTTAGTCTAGGCGCAGTCGTGGCTGCACGCGTTTACGAGAGAACGCGAGGACAGCGGCTCCTAGGTGCTAATGGGCGTGAGTTCCTTCGAGTGAAAAAACATAAGTTGGTTTCCTAGGGTGCGGAGAGGTGCAGTCCGAAAGAAAGTGGCTATGATAACCAAGTGTTACGGGCGCAATGAATCGAGGTAGCGAGGATTGCACTAGAGTGTTCAATTAGTACAAAGTATGAGCGAAGGCATGAGCGAATACTTAAACGCGAAAATGTGCAAATGGTAACGCGGTGCGTGCGAGCTAGCTAGTGCTACACTGGCGCGAGGTTCGGGCTAGTCCCGAAGCATAGGCCGACTCGACTGCTCCAGCAGTGCGAGGTTTGGTGAAACAGTGCGCGCGAAGTTGGCGAAGCCCCGTTAGCAGTAATGGGCGAACAACGGCTGCTGTTGTACGCGATGTGGACGGTCGCGACAAGGAATAGCGAGAAAATTCCTTACACTTTACAACAAAATTTCGCCGGCAAGCAAATTTGAATGTTACCAGTAGTTCTAACTGAATGGCATCATGGTTACCTGAAAAAAACTAATAAATTTGACTGAATGAAAGCATTAAGTCTTAGGCAATACACTAGGGGGGACCAATGGATGAAACCTTGGAAAACAATGTTGGGGTACAGGTAGAGAAGTGCATTGTTTGAAGACGACGTGAGGAAATAGGGGCGAGCGAGCGTACATCCTAAGTTAGTGTTGTGCTGTGCACAATGTTGGGGTACAGGTTGAGATGTGCATTTGCCACCCATTCTCAGTTTTTTTAGCCATCATTTCCAAAACATATTGCATTAAGCCTCCACTCTAATGATCGTGGTATTGCTGATTAGATTCCTAAAGCAAATGGTAACCAATGTGAACACACTACAATAACCATCCACGAACTGTGACACAGCAATGATTACTGCATCAAAGCAGCAGCACCCTTCCCGTTGTTACGTTAACTACTGCTGAAGGACAGGACAAATGAGCTGCACAAACCATCAACGTCATCCTACACAGCAATCGTTACCGCGTCACGACAGCAGCACCCTGCCAGTCGTCACATCGACCACCAGTGCAGGCAGCGAGAAATGCGATGCATGAACCGAGTCATTCGCCGAAACAGATCCGGACGAAGCACTAGGATTGTCAGCGGCACAAACAATTGAATGTTCTGTGGGCTCGAAAGCAGCAGCAGGTACTCGAGAAGAGGTGACGGCTGAGTCGAGGGAGAGGGGGGAGCGCCAGAGGTGGTGGGCGGCAGCACTCATGCTCTGCGCCTCACTAGCCCGCATGGGGAAGGCATGCAGGGTAGCTGCATAGCGCTCTGGTGGGGTTGAGGGCAGCATGGAGCAGCATTGACAGTGGGAGTGGATGGTTTGGAAGGGTGAGCGAGACTGTGAATCATTCTTTTGAGGCGCCTCAAAAATAGTTTGGAAGGGTGAGCGAGAGTGTGAATCATTCAGTGCTCTCTACACTGGCCCACATGAGGAAGGCCTGCAGGCCAGCTCCATAGCGCTCTGGCACGGCATAACAAAACTGAGAATGCGATAGGGTCAAGCTGCTAGGTCGTAGCAGTCCTGACCTTGGTGCAACGGTCTTCGCTCATAGTGGAAGAGCAGCAATTCTAAAGAGTGACGCTTCCCTTTCCTGGAGAAACGATCAGCTGCTAGGTGTAGCGGTCCTTACCTTGGTGCAACGGGAAGAGGAAAGTGCGGCACTACTCACTGAGTGCGAATGCGATGAGGTCCAGCTGCAGCACTCGGTTCTTCCGGTCCTTACCTTGGTGCGCAAGCAAACTGAATGCTTGCAAGAAAACTTACAGGTGCAAGCAACTTTGGTGGGCGCTTTGTATACTTAACTCAACTCACCAAGAGTGAATGCGTTAAGGTCCAGCTGTAGCACTCAGTTCTTCCGGTCCTTACCTTGTCGTGCAAGCCAACTAATTTTGTTGACTCGTCGCAACAACCTGAAGATGGACTCACCGAGGGTGATTGCAATAAGGTCTAGCTGCAGCACTCGATTCTTCCGATCCTTTAGCTGCTCTGCACTCCCACGCACCCATGCACATGCCACAGGGAAGAACACGTCTTTTTCTCAGAAAATATGTTCAAACTTCGCGTGGCATTATTGTGAGAAACACATCGCATATGGCACAGAACACCAGAGCACAGAACGCATATGCACACATGAATATTGTGTCGCTTTTGTGATTTTTCAAAAGTGAGACAAGCATAGTCATACATTTGTTTGCATTTTGATCTGCAGATGGGCCTCCTGCTGCTGCGAGCAACAAAAAACACGGCATAGCACATTGAACACCGCACACAGCACAGCAGCCCAACAGCACAACAGCACAGCAGCACAGCAGCACAGCAGCGCGTGTGATGGCATACCTTCGTCTGTGACTTGATCTGCAGTCGAGCCCCCTGCTGCCCCTGCGAGCAGCGACAGCCTGTGATCCACATTGTCCCACTGTGCCGCCCCCAGGAGTGCCAGTGCACATAGCAAACAACACACACAGCGCAAAGCACACAACTCTCACCTTCGTCTGGGTCTTGATCTGCAGCCAAGCCATTTGCCCCTGCGAGCAGCGACAGCCTGTGATCCAGATTGTCCCACTGTGCCGCCCCCAGGAGTGCCAGCGCCCGGCGAAAGAGGCCCTGATAGGCACGGACGGAGCAAGGTGGAGGAGCAAGGTGGAGGAGCAAGGTGGAGGAGCAAGGTGGAGGAGCAAGGTGGAGGAGCAAGGTGGAGGAGCAAGGTGGAGGAGCAAGGTGGAGGAGCAAGGTGGAGAATAGCGTGCAAGAAAGAACAGGAGTGTCCCACTGTGCTGCTCCCAGGAAGGCCAGTGCTCGGAGAAAGAGACCCTGACAGCCATGGGTTAAAAAGTAGGCGGAACAAGGCGGAACAAGGTGGAACAAGGCGGAACAAGGTGGAACAAGGTGGAACAAGGCGGAACAAGGTGGAACAAGGTGGAACAAGGCGGAACAAGGTGGAACAAGGCGGAACAAGGTGGAACAAGGTGGAACAAGGTGGAACAAGGTGGAACAAGGTGGAACAAGGCGGAACAAGGCGGAACAAGGTGGAACAAGGTGGAACAAGGCGGAACAAGGCGGAACAAGGTGGAACAAGGTGGAACAAGGCGGAACAAGGTGGAACAAGGTGGAACAAGGCGGAACAAGGTGGAACAAGGCGGAACAAGGCGGAACAAGGTGGAACAAGGTGGAACAAGGCGGAACAAGGTGGAACAAGGTGGAACAAGTACCTCAGCAATCGTGCCCCCATGTGCTGCAGCCTGCCTTGCTGGACGCATGTGTCGCTCAGAAGTGAAAACAGGGGCGACTTTTGAGGCACCTCAAAAGTCGTCACAGGGGTGCAGCAACCAGCAACACCAGCCGAGACTCACAGCAAGCCCCTACCTCTATGCAAACGAAGGGTTCACAACACCTACCTCAGCAATCATGCCCTCCCCTGTGTGCTGCAGCCGGCCTCTCTGAGCATATGTGTCGCCCAGCAGGGACAGCACGGCCCCCACCATTGGATTGAAGTCTGAGGTATCTGCCGTGGTGGGAGCATGGGGCGCGGAGAGGGGGGAGGGTGGCAGCTGGTGGTGGGTGTGTGTGCCAGCAGTAGAGACAGCACGGCTCCCACCATCAGATTGAAGTCTGAGCTATCTGCCATGGTGGGAGCATGGGTGTTGAAGGGGTAAGGGCGGGGAAAGGAGGTCAGATGGTGGTGTGACTGAAATGGTGGTGATGGTCGCAGGTGTGTGAGCCAGCAGAGACAGCACGGCTCCCACCATGGGATTGAAGTCTGAGCTATCTGCATGGTGGGGGCAATGCTAGGTGTAATACAAACGGCGGTGTGTGTGTGTGTGTGTGTGTGTGTGTGTGTGTGTGTGTGTGTGTGTGTGTGTGTGTGTGTGTGTGTGTGTGTGTGTGTGTGTGTGTGTGTGTGTGTGTGTGTGTGTGTGTGTGTGTGTGTGTGTGTGTGTGTGTGTGTGTGTGTGTGTGTGTGTGTGTGTGTGTGTGTGTGTGTGTGTGTGTGTGTGTGTGTGTGTGTGTGTGTGTGTGTGTGTGTGTGTGTGTGTGTGTGTGTGTGTGTGTGTGTGTGTGTGTGTGTGTGTGTGTGTGTGTGTGTGTGTGTGTGTGTGTGTGTGTGTGTGTGTGTGTGTGTGTGTGTGTGTGTGTGTGTGTGTGTGTGTGTGTGTGTGTGTGTGTGTGTGTGTGTGTGTGTGTGTGTGTGTGTGTGTGTGTGTGTGTGTGTGTGTGTGTGTGTGTGTGTGTGTGTGTGTGTGTGTGTGTGTGTGTGTGTGTGTGTGTGTGTGTGTGTGTGTGTGTGTGTGTGTGTGTGTGTGTGTGTGTGTGTGTGTGTGTGTGTGTGTGTGTGTGTGTGTGTGTGTGTGTGTGTGTGTGTGTGTGTGTGTGTGTGTGTGTGTGTGTGTGTTTGTGCGCAGAGACAATGTGGCTGCCGCCATTGGGTTAACTGAGAGCGATAGGAGCATGGAAGGGAAACGGTGGTGTGACTGAAATGGTGGCATGATTGACTAGCAGAAGAGAGAAGAGGCGGAATGGGAGAAGGGAAGATGGGGAAAGGGGTGAGGGGGTAAGGGAGGGGGATGAGTGGAAGGGCAATAAGAGACGGCTGAATCAACATGGAGTGGTGAGGCAGGGACGAGTTACCATCAATGACTTGTGCCTCTTTTAGAGGGTAAGGGGTAAGAGAAAGAGATGAGTGGAAGGGCAGTCAGAGAGGGTTAAAGTGGAGTGGTGAGTCAGGGAGGAATCACCATCCATGGCCTCAGCCTCTTTGAGAGCTTCCGTGAAATGCTCCTCTGCTCCTTTAAAATCCCTACTCAGAACACAAGGATAAGCAAACGCACGGATAAGCAAACGCACGGATAAGCAAACGCAAGGATAAGCAAACGCAAGGATAAGCAACAGGAAAGAGCAAAGACGCAGGGGAGTGAACGAAGCTGAGAAGGGCAGGTAGAGAGAGCAGGTGAGCAGAAGGCAGCCGAGCCGAGTGCGATAGAAAGGGGCAAAGGAAGCATGGCAAGGCAAAAGAGTCGACAATTTTTTTGACAGAAAAATCGGCAAGGAGAGCCACGCCTTGTACAGCAGCACCTGTAACTGAGGTGACATTTGAGTCGACTCAAAAGTCACCTCGCTGCAAGGAGAGACAAGCCTCCCCTTCTGTTAATCGTGTCTCGAAACTTGAAAGTCGCTTTTGCGAACTCGAACTCTCAGAAGTGACTCCTTTAGCAGCACCTGCAAACAACGTGTGTTTTTTGAGAATTCTCAAAAAACACACTTAGCAGCAGCTGCAAAAAACTGCCGTGTTGAAAGGACTCACCTTGTCCCTCTTGTGTGCGCACCCCTCAAGAATCAATAGTCCCACCCACTCCCACTCCACCACGCACCCACCCACCAACCCCTATTTTTGAGGCCCCTAAAAAATCGACTCACCTTGTCCCTCTTGCTTGCACACTCCACAAGAGTCAATAGTCCCACCCCACCCCACCCCACCACGCTTCCACCCACCAACCCTTGCAGAGCCTCGATCTCGGCTAAAATAAAATTTGAGAACCAGAGGACCTACCCTTGCAGCAGCAGCAACTGCCCTAGCCCTGACAGCGCCCCCACACGCACTGCTGCCCCCGCATGCAGTGAGGGCGTGAGGGACAACGCGGGTGATGGTGGGGGTGAGATGGAGGAAGAGGAGGGATATGAGGAAGTGGATCGGACATAACACAGCACTTACCCTTGCAGCAGCAGCAGCAGCTGCCCCAGGCCTGCTAGCGCCCCCACACGCACTGCTGCCCCCGCATGCAGTGAGGGCGTGAGGGACGATGCGGTGGGTGATGCAGTGGGTGATGCAGTGGGTGAGGAGGAGGATGGGGAGGAGGGTGAGGAGGGAGAAGGTGCGGTGAAGCATTGGATGAGCTGGGAGTAGTATGACGTGGCTTGCTCCCATTGGCCGACGGAGTGCAGGTGCAGCGCCATTGCCAGCCGGGCGAGCCCTGTGGTCGGCACCGAGTTGCAGTCAAGCGGCTCGAGCTCGTCTGCTTCCTGGAAGTGCTCCCGAGCTGGGCGGCAGGAGTATGGGCGGCAGAGAACGGAGGGGACAACAACAGAGGAAAAGGTCACCAGAAGTGCAATAAATTACAGAACAAACACTGACTCATTTACCTAAGAATCCACATACAACGATTCCCTACAGCAGCAAGTACATTTCATGCAATCACCAAGCCCTCCACATGGTTACCAAAGGACAGTAATTAAGGTTACAAGCGAACTGTTACACACTTTTCAAGAGCACAGTTACATGCTAACCAGCAGCAAAATTAACAGCAATGCTACAGGGTTACCAGCACCAGCATGTTACAGGGTTACCAGTGGCGATGTGGCCGCACAGTGCTCCACCAGCCCCACAGGGCAGAGCACTTAATTACAAGGAGCACTTTTACTCGGTTACCAGCAGCCGCTCAATAAAGGCTTACCAGTGGCAATGTGGCCGCAGAGCTGCTCCACGAGCCCCACGGAGCAGAGCACTCGGAAGCGCAGGAATGCCAGCCCCGGTGGTGCTGCTGATGGTGATGCTGATGGTGATGATGGGGATGGTGGTGATGCTGATGGGGCGGGTGTTGGTGGTTGCAGCAATGCAGCGGCTCTCCCGGCAGACTCCATAGCATGTGCGTCCTGGGGGGGAGGGGAGGAGAGGGGAGAAGGCGGGAAGGAAAGAGAGAAAAGGAGAAAAGAAAGGTGCACGACAGACAAAAATCAGGGTGGAAAGATGCAACGAAGCAAGAGAAAAGAAACAGAATTTCACAAGGGAAACGAAGTTTAGAATATCATTGTTATTATTATTATAGTACTCAATAACTTACAAGGAGATGAGACATGCAGAATTACGCAGATTCTTAGGAGGAGAGAACGAATAAACAGCAACATTATTATAAACGTGTATAGGCAGGATGACACACACATGATTAGATTGCATTGTGTTGTGCTGCACCACTCAGCAACCTTGGCACAAGCCAAGCTACTAAAGCCACTAGTATGGAAACGAATCAGCCCTCGTTACAAGAACACTCACTGCATGGCCGCTGAGGTGGATCCGAACCACCTCTTCCAACACCCCAACTGCCACATGCCAAGCAAAGATCCGCTGATCAAATATAAAAAGCAGGTTGAAACCACGCCATACTATCCAAGCCTCACAGGTAACAGGCACGGCATGACATTACATTGGAGAATTCTCAAAAGCAACTCCAACATGGAGTGGCATGGGATTACTGCTACCGGGTAACTTCTGTGAGTGGTGTACTTTTGAGGCTCCTCATAAATAAAATCGACTTTTGAGGCTCCTCATACATAAAATCGACTTTTGAGGCTCCTCATAAATAAAATCGACTTTTGAGACGTCTCAAAAATCATGCCATACTATCCAAGCATCACTCACAGGTAACAGGAGTGGCATGGGATTACTGCTACCTGGTCATTTCTGTGCGTGGTGTACGTACAGGACATATTGGCGCAAGTGGTAAAAGTGAAGTTTTGAGACGTCACAAAACCAGGTCATTTCTGTGCGTGGTGTACGTACAGGACATACTGGCGCAAGTGCCCATGGCTGCAGGAGCAAACAAGTCAGCAGCCATAGCCGTGGCCACACAGGAGGTTCAATCAAAAGCAGCTGGCGTCAGGCGAGGTGAGTTTAGGCAAGACAGTTGCTTCTGAAACTCCTGTGTGGCCACGGCTGCTGTGACGCTGCGTTGTTTGCTCCTGCAGCCTTGACCACTTGTGTTTCTGTGTCCTGAACACCACGCACAGGAATGGACCGCGTACACGCCACAGCCCACAACAGCCCATACCATCCTTCTCAGATACATGCCCCTATCTTTATCTCATGCCACCCTTCAACCACGCACCCAGCTCTCCCACCCCACTCCTCCAGCTCTCGCCACGCAACCCCCTCCCTCCCCCCCCCCCACGGCTCTGCCCCCCACGCCCATATCCCCACGCCCTCTCTCCCCATGCCCTGCCCACCTCGCTCGCACAGCCCCGCATCCCCCATTGCCGCCACCTCCTCTAATGCCTCCACTGCTCCGCTGCTGTCGTGGCTGTGGGGTGAACAGCATGGGGTATGGGGGTGTGGGGAGGGGGCGCGGGCGTGAGAGAGGGAGAAAGAGGACACTAGATAGGGGAGGACGCGACAACAACCAATCCCTAAAGAGCAAACGTACACTTTCAGGTGCAGAGCTGCCTGCCTCCAAACAGAGCAGCCGCGCTGACGTTTGTAAGACTCAGTGGTGGCAATTCTGTAGGCTTGAAAGCCCAATCCCCAGCAGAGAAAACGCACACTCTCAGGTGCAGAGCTGCCTGCCTCCAAGCAGAGCAGCCGCGCTGCCTGTTGATTCGACTCACACGAGTTACACCAAACCATTCTGTAGGCTTGAAAGCCCGATCCTCAGCACGGCGAGCGTACACTCTGAGGTGCAGCGCGGCCTTGAAGCAGCACAGCAAAAGCGCTGGCCTTTTTATCGACTCACACAAGTAGCCCCAAGCCTACTCTGAGAACGTGAAAACCCAAAACTCACGCCAACTTGGAAGCAGACGTACACTCTGAGGGGCAGCGCGGCCTTGAAGCAGCACAGCAGCCGCGCTGCCCTCATGGTCGACTCGAATGTCGAATCCCCAAGCAGGCCAGCTCAGTCCCCCTCAAAACTCAAGCCCCAACCCAATCCCTCACGACGGCGAACGTACACTCTGAGGTGCAGCGCCGCCTTGAAGCGGAGCAACCGTGCTGCCTGCGACGCTGCTGCCTGCCCTCCCTGCGCCCTCAGCATGCTCGCCCCGTGCTCCACCACCCTCAGCGCCTCCTGTGCCGCCGCTGCTGCCAGGGGAGAGCAGCACAAACGAAAGAAACGAGCAGATGATATTCAAGAATAGGAATACCACGCAGTTACATCCCTCCTGCGCCTCCCCCCCGCCCTGCGCCCTCAGCATGGTCGCCCCATGCTCCACCACCCTCAGCGCCTCCTGTGCCGCCGCTGCTGCCAGGGAAGAGGGTGGCGGAGCAGAGGAAGGGAAGGGATCCGCAGCACAGGAGACCAAAGGGCCCAGTGGATCCCTTTTGTGGCGCCTCAAAAGGCGCCTCAGAAAGCGCCCTTTGCGGCGCCTCAGAACGGATCCACTGAAGAGAAGATCCCTGCCCTCTGAAGGGATTAGTGGATCCCTGCTCTGCTCGTCCAACTTATGAGACGTCTCAACCCAGACCAGTAGAGACAAGCAGAGCAAAGAGACTCCCTGAGTTGAGACTCGTCCTGACTCACTCACCGTCATCTAATCCTTCCCTCGCGAGGCACGTCTGCGCGAACGCAATCATCTCATCCGCAAGCCTCCGTTCCGACCCGCCTCCTGCTCCCTCCGCGTCATCCCCGCTACTAACTGCTCCGCTACGCGCAGCGGGGGCTGCTGCACCCGCAGAGCCGGCAGAACCAGCCTGGACTGCGGAAAGACGAGAAGCCGAGGAGAAATTTCTGGCCCCGAGAGTAGGAAACTCGTTGGGAGCACTGCGATGGCCAGTTGACAGTGGAAAAAGCGGAGTGCAAGCTTGGTGCGCGGGAAGCGGACTAGCAGCTAATCTAACCGACGAGGGCGGCTGCTTGCCGGTGGACGGAGATTGTCCGTCAAATCTGACGGCGCCAACAGACAGCTGCACGAAATCCGCTTGGAGGTCTGAAGTGGGTTGAACGGATCGCAAGCTGCTGTTTCCTGAAGAAGCTTCAGCAGCACCGCCAATGACTGAGGAGAATTTGCCATGATCGCTGGTATTCTGCTCATTCCTGACACGTGCGGTCCCGTCATGGTTGCTGCAACTGTGAAGGCACGACGAGAGGATCGCGTAGAACGGCGACGGTAACGAGGGATGTGACTGTATGAGAAGCAGCCGGCTGGCTGATTTGGCGGTCGAGCGCGAAACTGCCGCTACTGGAGCCATGATGCGAGAGGTTACGCTCCAAGACCACGTGTGCCTATTGAAACTCTACGGCGCAGAGCGCAACACGCTCGCGTCGCTTTGACACAAATTACTAGGATTACGATAAAAGCCGAGCAAGCGCAGCTCACGCAAGAAATGCTTCACGCAATATTGGCTGCTGCGGTTGTTGCTACAATGGGCCTCGGGCTGCGCCGACTGTAAGCTGATACGTTATTGGTGAGAACTCAGCATGAACTGTAGACTATTTTCCAAAGTGCACCAATTTCGAGAAAAATAAGGCTGCGAGGCGAATCAATCTTCCACCCTTTATGGAAGCATCGAAAAAGTCCTTGCGGCCACCAGAAGCGGTGACGTGGCAGTTGCGTGCTGGTTTGGAAGCGAATCGAACCTTCTGGGCCGCAAAAATGTGACACAAATTTCTTATTCCCGTATAGAAACATCCACCTACAGTAATAATTCCGGTGCGTATAACGAAAGCCCCTTCGTTCTGATTCACCTCGTTCCATCTCTCCTTGCCCCATGCGCCATGCCTCCTCTGCTCCTAGTTTAGTAGAATTCATGATTCAACTTGGCTCATTTGCTGCATGTTCAGCCTGATCGTCAGCTTTCTCGTTCCACCTCTCGCTCCAGCGTTCTCATTGCAGCGTCTCTGCCAGTCTCTGGCCTGAAGACTCTTCCTGGCCAGTGCTTCTTGCCCTTGAACACCCGCTAGCTCTTCCATATCGACTTAACTTCTTACCAGTATTCGCCTGATCGTGTCCGTTCATCACCTCCGTTCATCCTGAACATCCTCGATCCAACATCCATTTCGCTTCCCATCGTATTTTCCTCTCCACGTGTCGGATCCGATCGTTCTCGCGTCGATCAGACGAATCTAGTATCTAGGGGTTTCAGATCAGCGAGCAGCCATGTTCAGGAGCTTGTTGCGAGTGTCGCCGGCGGTTCGGGCTGCTGCAGCCCGTTCGTCCACCAATAATGGGAGCGCTAGCCACAGGTACGACTGCATGCGATCGAAACGACTGGACGAATATACTCGATGAAGTAGATGGTATGCGATCAGTGACTGCATGCAATCGAAATGATTGGGTGCTGTTGAGACTTAAACATGAGTTATTGTACCGAGGGTCGAGACTCTGAATAATATCCCTTAGTTTTGGATTCTGGTGGCCTCGACTCACGACACGACGGTTCCAGAACCATAGCACCAGGCACTGATCCGCTCTGAACCATAGCCGATCCGCTCTGATCAATGCACCAGGCACGTCCATGAAGCCACGTACGTCCTGAGACTCCAGAGTTACTAGGCATGTGTGTCTCTAGACATACTCTTCACCAGGCATGTCCGTGACCAGGCATGTCGCTGTATGGTATGCGTCTCTCTGATCCATACCATTATGCATGAATCTATTCGTTCCTGTTTTCCTGAACTTACTGATGGCTTTGATCGCGCTGATTGCGCTAGTGTTTCTGATTCATGGCATGAGGTTCGTCCAATATGTCGCTCGCGCCGTTGCTGCTCTCTATCGTTGCTCGCTCCTGTTCGTCCAGGGTTAAGAGAGTATTCGTTCTCCCGTTTGGTTAGGGCTCGCTTCTCCCGTTTCGTTTCATTACTCCGGGGTTAAGAGAGTATTCGTTCTCCCGTTCCTCTCTTTCCTGTGCCGTCTGAATGCGTGCGATTGATTCTCGTGCGACGCGCGGGCGATGGGGTCTATTGCTCCCTCAATCACGGACACCCTTTCAACGACCAGAGTCGCTCAGGTACGGATGCTTCAACAGCACACACCCTCTCTTTCTCGTGACCCCCAGCTTCCCTTTCACATTCGCACCCCTTTCTACATAGTCACACCCTCCACCGCAAGTACCACACCCTTATCCGCAAGCGTTCCAACCATCCTCCTGTTGGCAACCCAAAGTCGGCAAATGCGTCTCCTCCTGCTCGTCGCCGCATTCCACCCTCGTCTGCTCCTCTCCACCGCTCGTCCCCTCGCTGTCCGTTATCTGCACACCCTCGCATCAGTTGCAGAAGCAGAGATTCACTCTTACTGTTCCCCCGTTATTCATTTTCTTTGTGTGACGTTTCTGTAATGTTCCCTCCCTCCCTCCGTCCCTCCCTCCCTCCGTCCCTCCGTCCCTCCGCTTGTAACGTTGCCTCGGTGCGCAGCACCAATGGCAGCGCGGGTTCGCGGCGAAGGACATCCGGTTCGGCGTGGAGGCGCGGGCCGCCATGCTGCAAGGCGTGGAGCAACTCGCCGACGCCGTGCGGGTCACCATGGGACCCAAGGTACGGCAGGGATGTGCTCACATGGGCCTATGGTTGATGCGGGTACGGTAGTGGTGACGGCGTACGGGTCATCCAATATCACCAAAAACGGCGTGACGTTGCTCTCACACTCGATTCACCTTGTCTCGACTCTTTCTCGTCTCCTCCTCCTTCCTCTCCTCTCCCCTCTTCTCCCCTTCTCCACCTCCCCCTCCTCCCCCAGGGGCGACAAGTGGTGATAGAGCAGCCATACGGGTCGCCCAAGATCACCAAGGACGGAGTGACGGTGGCTAGGAGCATCGAGTTCTAAGGACAAGCTCAAGAACCTCGGCGCCAGCCTCGTCAAGCAGGTCGCCTCCACCACCAACGACACCGCGGGCGCCGGTGCCCCCACTCACCGCCCTTCCTCCTCTCCCCTTGTGCTCTCCCCGTGTACCCTCCTCTCCTCCCCTCTCCCCTGCTCCCCCCTCCTGTCCCTCCTCTCCCTCCTCTTCCCTTGTCCACCCCACCTCGCCCCCACCCCCCTCCTATTCCAGGGGCGGCAAGTGGTGATCGAGCAGCCATACGGGTCTCCCAAGATCACCAAAGACGGGGTGACGGTGGCGAGGAGCATCGAGTTCAAGGACAAGCTCAAGAACCTCGGCGCCAGCCTCGTCAAGCAGGTCGCCTCCACCACCAACGACACCGCGGGCGCCTTGCTGATCTCTTGTTCCACTTGAATCTCTAGGAAGAAAATTCTCTGTTTCGTTCTGTTTAGTTGCTTAAGCGTTTCTTCCCCCAGTCTGCTGCTGCTACTCCACTAAGAGCCTGGGTTCTCTTTTGTCAAGCAGGTCGCCTCCACCACCAACGACACCGCTGGCGACGGCACCACGTGCGCCACCGTGCTCACGCGCTCGATTCTCCTGGAAGGGTGCAAGTCCGTCGCCGCGGGCATGAACGCCATGGATTTGAGGAGAGGGATCTCGCTGGCAGTGGAGCGGGTGATTGAGCTGCTCAAGGAGCGCTCCAGACGCATCAGCACTTCCGAGGAGATCGCCCAGGTGAGACACGTGGCTTGGAAACTTTCCAAGTGAGAGATTCTGAAGTGCAGTCGTAAGAGGGGTGACAGGGAGTAGAGATTGTGATCAAGGCATTTTTTCCTCATCCCCGCTGCCCCTCCCTTTCTTACTCTTCTCTTCTCCGTTGCCAGGTTGGCACCATCTCGGCGAATGGCGAGAGGGAGATTGGGGATTTGATTGCGCGGGCCATGGAGAAGGTCGGCAAGGAGGGCGTTATCACTGTCGCGGTGAGTGCTTCATTTCCTTCTCTTTTTTCATTACTTTTTCTCGCTACGCTTCCCTCTCTTGCCACCTGTTTATGATTTATGAATGATGGATCGCAAGATGGCATGGTAACGAGTTGGGCGAACTTTGATTGTACCCTGCTTGCTCTATAACAGGACGGCAAGACGCTCTATAACGAGTTGGAGGTGGTGGAGGGAATGAAGTTCGACCGCGGCTACATCTCGCCCTACTTCATCACCAACCCCAAGACGCAGAAATGCGTGAGTGCTGCTCTTTTCCTAGATTCAACCCACGTGGTCAAGGATTTTGTAGTGTCAGGGTTTGGGGTTTCGGGGTTTCAAGGGTTCTGAAACCCATTTCATCTCACATACCCATTTTTCTCTCCCTTCCGCGCCTTTCACCCCTCCGCCCACCCTCCTCCCCTCTGCAGGAGCTGGAGAACCCGTTGGTGCTGGTGCACGAGAAGAAGATCGCTGGTCTCAGCTCCATCCTGCCCGTCCTCCCATTTACCCATTTCTCTCTTCTCCCCCGTCCGCCTGCCCCTCCTCCTCCTCGTCCTCCTCCCCTTCCCTTCCGCAGGAGCTGGAGAACCCCTTGGTGCTGGTGCACGAGAAGAAGATCGCGGGGCTCAGCTCCATCCTGCCCGTCCTTGAAATCGCCCTCAAGGTAAATCCTCAATCAAACCCTTTCCCCCCTTTTTCCCCCCTCCCCCCTGTCCTATCCCTACCTACGTCCCCGCCCGTCCGCGTGTTCCCACTCCATTTTCGTCCATACTCAGACCTCTCCTCGCCTCCTGCACCTCCCTCTCTTTCCCTTCTTACCCCCTCCTCCTTCTCCCCCCTCCCCCCGTTGATTTCCCTCTTGTCCCAACAGCCCCCTCAGTCCACCTCATGCATATTCCCTCCTGATGCCCCCCGGGCAGTTCACCCGTCGCACCTCACCAGCCGCCCCTGAAAAGCCCGGCCCCTTAACCTTGCGCCCACCCAGCCTTCTTCCCATAATTTTCTCATAGTCACCACCAGCACCAGCTCCATTATTATAACCAGAACCACCACCAACACCACCATCAACCATTCTTAACCAATGCCAACCTGTAGAGAGCCCCGAAGTCCTGTCTCCTACCGACCTTCTGTAGCCACTCTCAACCGTTTCTAACTCCTGCCTGCTATCTCCCTTGATTCCGTTTTCCCCCCCACCAGTACCAGCGCCCGCTGCTGATCATTGCAGAGGACGTGGAGAGCGAGGCACTGGCGACATTGGTGGTGAACAAGCTGCGGGCGGGGCTCAAGGTGAGATGCATACCTGTGCATGGGGTGGTTGGCGGAATCTAAGCGTCTTAAAGGGGATTTGGGGTTAGGTCACGTTGGCTCCGAGGGTCTGGGACGCTGGCGACATTGGTGGTGAACAATCTCAGGGCGGGGCTCAAGATGAGATGCGACGCCCGCCTTGTGACGGCTGGTGGGATGCTATGGGGTTAGAGGGTTCCACATGTGAGCAGGGATGTTCGCATGCGATCAGAGGGGCCGGGGCGCTGGCGACACTGGTGGTGAACAAGCTCAGGGCGGGGCTCAAGGTGAGAGCCATACTTGGGCTGAGTCTGGGTTGCCTGAGGGTGTCGCGTGGGTGGGGTTGGTGCATCAGTGCATTTGCATCTGAGTAAGGGGGTTGAGGACTTTGGGGTTGGAGGGGCTGGGGATATTTGCCGTGCAAGCATAGCAGATCAGAACAAGGCATTTATTTTTGTGTTGCCTTCTCCCTCTCTCGCTGCCTCTCTGCCTCCTCTCACTTTCGGCCTCTCTGCTGCGTTCTGCGCTCTGGCTGCGTGTCTCTGTGGTCGCTCTCTGCCTGCATGCTTGTTTGTTCCTCTCCGGCAGGTGTGTGCAGTGAAGGCGCCCGGGTTCGGCGAGAACAGGAAGAACAACATGATTGACATCGCCACGCTCACCGCCTCCCAGGTACGTTGCATCTGGACACTCCGCCTCGGACCCAGCTTCCATCTCTTTCTGATCTCAGACATCTCACCTTCCCCCTCCCCTCCCTTCCCCCCTCTTCCCAACCCACCCAAACCCATCTAAATTCCCCACCTATCAGCAAGCATCAGCACTGTAGCTCCTAGTGTTCATTTTTAACTCCTCTTCCACCCACATTCCCCCTTCCTCGTCGCCCTATTCCCCTGTTGTCTCTCCACCTCACACTCCTCTTCCCCTCCCGTCCCCCCGTCCCCCCTCCTATCTGCACGCGCAGCTGATCAGTGAGGACCTGGGATATTCGTTGGAGAAGGTGGACGTGTCCCACCCTCTTTCCCCCTCACACACACCCTCATTCTCTCCCTCCTCCCCCTGTTCCATCTCCGCGTGTTGTCCCTGCAGCTGATCAGTGAGGACCTGGGATATTCGTTGGAGAAGGTGGACGTGTCGCATCTGGGCTCCGCCAAGAAGGTGAGGGGATGGCTGTGTGTGCACATGAGTGTTGGGGGTGGGGGAGAAGAGGGGGTATGTGTGTATGTGTGTGTGCGTACATGCGTGTGGGGCGAAGGGACCTGGGGTACACGCTGGAGAAGGTGGGCGTGTCTCACCTGGGCTCCGCCAAAAAGGTGCTCGGGTGGTTCTGTGTGCGTCTGTGTGGGGGGTGTGCGTATACTGGTGTGAGAGGTGGGCACCTGGGGTACTCATTGGAGAAGGTGGACGTGTCTCACCTGGGTTCCGCCAAGAAGGTGCGTGGGCGGCGGGGTGTGGGTCTATGTGTGTGGGGGAAGGTGGGAGGGTCGGAGGAGGGGAGAGGAGGGGGTAGGTGTGTGCACATGTTCGTGTGAGAGGTGAGGGACGTAGGGTATTCATTGGAGAAGGTGGGCGTGTCCCACCTGGGCTCCGCCAAGAAGGTGAGGGGGCGAGCGAGCGTCAGTGCGTGGGGATGTGTGTAGGTGCAAGCATGTGGGGTTATGCGTTTGCCTGGTGCGCGCTAGATGTGAGGGACCTGGGGTACGTTGGAGAAGGTGGGCGTGTCCCACCTGGGCTCCGCCAAGAATGTGAGGGACGATTCTGGGGGGCTCTATATGTGTGCAACTGCAGGGGAAAGGGGGGGGGTATGTGTGTGCGGATTCTTGAGGACCTGGGCGTTGGAGAAGGTGGGCGTGTCTCACATGGGCTCCGCCAAGAAGGTGACCGAGCGGCTGTGCGGGGTGAGGTGAAAGTATGCTGGCGGGAAAAAGGAGGGTGGGCTGGGCGAAGGAGTATGGGGCGGAGAAGGAATGATGGGGTGGGGTGGGGGGAGGTGGAATGGGGAGGTTTACTTTTGAGTCGACTTAAAGTCACCTTGGGCTGGGCGAAGGAGTATGGGGCGGAGAAGGAATGATGGCGTGGGGTGGGGAGAGGTGGAATGGGAGGGTTACCTGTGCTCATTGGGGTTACTGCTTCAGGGCTCTTTGCCTCTGCAGATTCTGTTCTTGTATTTGGAACTCATTCGATTCCGTGCTGCTCTGTGTCTGTGGCTGTGAGTGCCGCCCTCAGGTGACGATATCGAAGGACGACAGCATCGTTCTGGATGGAGCTGGCGACAAGAAGGCCCTGGAGGAGCGGTGCGAGCAGGTGAGGAGCGGTGCCATAAGATGAGAAGGAAGTTACATACTATGCTGGTCCTTTGAAACTTTCCGCCAATTAGTCAGTTACTTGACATCCCATGTGATTCTTCACATCTCTTTTCCTAGCCCCGCTCGCTTCTGTTTCACTCCACGCCCCTCATCTCCTCCACTCCTCTTACTCCCTCCGTTCCTTCCACTCCCTTTCTCCCAGATTCGTAGTAGCCAACGCCACTTGATGACAAGGAGAAGCTGCAGGAGCGCCCGCTTACTTTCACCTTACTCACCCCATGTCGCTCACTCACTGCTGTTGGCTCTCCTCTCCCACAGATCCGTGAGGCAGTGACCAATGCCACGTCAGATTGCGACAAGGAGAAGCTGCAGGAGCTGCCCCCCCTTTCACACTTTCTCATCCCACGCCCCCCCTCTCCCTCTTTTTCACTCATTCTCCCCTCTTTGCAGATCCGAGAGGCGGTGGCCAACGCCACGTCAGACTACGACAAGGAGAAGCTGCAGGGTCGCCCTCCTCATATGATCACACACCCTCTCCTGACGCTGCCCCTCTTCCTCTGTCGCTCCCTTCTCTCTGCAGATCCGAGAGGCGGTGGCCAACGCCACGTCAGACTACGACAAGGAGAAGCTGCAGGAGCGCCTGGCGAAGCTGTCTGGCGGTGTGGCCGTGCTCAAGGTGGGCGGACATGTGGGTGCTGAGTGGTGCTGAGTGGTGCTGAGTGGTGCTGAGTGGTGCTGAGTGGTGCTGGGTGGTATGTGATGAGTGATGAGTGCTGTGTCATCTGTGTTGGCTGCTGGGTGCTGTAGCCCCGGTGTGTTAGCCTCCTCCCATGTTCCGCCCTCCCCCTCTCTGCTCTCCATGCCTGCAGATCGGGGGGGCCAGCGAGGTGGAGGTGGGGGAGAAGAAGGACCGGGTGACGGACGCTCTGAACGCCACCAAGGCCGCCGTGGAGGAGGGCATTGTGCCGGGCGGCGGTGTGGCTCTGCTCTATGCGTCCAGGGATCTCGACACTCTTACCGCGGAGAACTTCGACCAGAAAGTCGGCATTCAGATCATCCGGGACGCGCTCAGGGTGAGTAAACGTCCCATCCGTTGTTTGCCTTCCACTAGTGGCTCTGCTGTACGCGTCTAGGGACCTTGACACACTCACTGCGAATAGTTTTGACCAGAAAGTGGGCACTCAGATCATCAGGGACACGCTCAGGGTGAGTGATCGTTTCATCCCATCCGCTGTCTGCCGTGAGCTAGTCGATCATTATCCACTCTCATGCTTCTCAAAACCCCAATTTCCTCACCTCCTTTTCCCCCTCTCCGCCCCTCTCCCCTCCCTTCATTTCCTCCCTCACCCCCCCTCCTCCTTCCCCATCCTACCAGACGCCAGCGCTGACCATTGCGAACAATGCGGGCGTGGAGGGGGCAGTGATCGTGGGGAAGCTGCTGGAGCAGACAAACCTCGACTGGGGCTACGACGCTGCCAAGGGTGCGTGCCCTGGGGCTGCTTGTGCTGATGGGGTGGCTCGGGCTGCTTGGGTGGATGGGTGGCTGGGGCTGTGGCTTGTATGCTGGGAGCAGTGATCGTGGGGAAGCTGTTGGAGCAAACCAACCTTGACTGGGGCTACGACGCTGCCAAGGGTGCGTGCCCTGGGGCTGCTTGGGTTGGCTAGGGCTGCTTGGGTTGGCTAGGGCTGCTTGGGTTGGCTAGGGCTGCTTGGGTTGGCTAGGGCTGCTTGTGTGGATGGGTGATGGGGGCTGTCTTTTGTATGCAGGGGGCAGTGGTCGTGGGCGAGTTGCTGGCTGGAGCAGACCAATCTTGACTGCGGCTATGATGCCGCCAAGGCTGGGTGACGGCATTGGGTGCCAGCTGTGGGGTGCTGTGGGGTGCTGTGGGCAAGGTGATGCGCACGGAGCTCGTGGATGCTGCCTCTGTCGCCTCCCTCGTCACCACCACCGAGGCTGCTCAAGGGCATCACAGCCTTGGCTCACCCACGTGTTTTGAACTGTTGTCTTTTCTCTTTCCCCTCCCCTTCTCCCCCATCACCCCTGCTCTCCCTCCCTCTCCCCCCCACCCCCCCCGCCTCCCTCCCTTCCCCAGGCGAGTACGTGGACATGGTGAAGGCGGGCATCATCGACCCTCTCAAGCTCTCACTCCTTGCGTTGTCTTCTCCCCACCCCACTCTCCGCTCCCCCATCCACCAGGCGAGTACGTGGACATGGTGAAGGCGGGCATCATCGACCCTCTCAAGCTCTCACTCCTTGCGTTGTCTTCTCCCCACCCCACTCTCCGCTCCCCCATCCACCAGGCGAGTACGTGGACATGGTGAAGGCGGGCATCATCGACCCTCTCAAGCTCTCACTCCTTGCGTTGTCTTCTCCCCACCCCACTCTCCGCTCCCCCATCCACCAGGCGAGTACGTGGACATGGTGAAGGCGGGCATCATCGACCCTCTCAAGCTCTCACTCCTTGCGTTGTCTTCTCCCCACCCCACTCTCCGCTCCCCCATCCACCAGGCGAGTACGTGGACATGGTGAAGGTGGGCATCATCGACCCTCTCAAGCTCTCACTCCTTGCGTTGTCTTCTCCCCACCCCACTCTCCGCTCCCCCATCCACCAGGCGAGTACGTGGACATGGTGAAGGCGGGCATCATCGACCCTCTCAAGCTCTCACTCCTTGCGTTGTCTTCTCCCCACCCCACTCTCCGCTCCCCCATCCACCAGGCGAGTACGTGGACATGGTGAAGGCGGGCATCATCGACCCTCTCAAGCTCTCACTCCTTGCGTTGTCTTCTCCCCACCCCACTCTCCGCTCCCCCATCCACCAGGCGAGTACGTGGACATGGTGAAGGCGGGCATCATCGACCCTCTCAAGCTCTCACTCCTTGCGTTGTCTTCTCCCCACCCCACTCTCCGCTCCCCCATCCACCAGGCGAGTACGTGGACATGGTGAAGGTGGGCATCATCGACCCTCTCAAGCTCTCACTCCTTGCGTTGTCTTCTCCCCACCCCACTCTCCGCTCCCCCATCCACCAGGCGAGTACGTGGACATGGTGAAGGCGGGCATCATCGACCCTCTCAAGCTCTCACTCCTTGCGTTGTCTTCTCCCCACCCCACTCTCCGCTCCCCCATCCACCAGGCGAGTACGTGGACATGGTGAAGGCGGGCATCATCGACCCTCTCAAGCTCTCACTCCTTGCGTTGTCTTCTCCCCACCCCACTCTCCGCTCCCCCATCCACCAGGCGAGTACGTGGACATGGTGAAGGCCGGAATCATCGATCCCCTCAAGGTAATCCGCACGGCGCTCGTGGACGCTGCCTCTGTGGCTTCTCTCATGACCACCACCGAGGCTGTTGTCGTTGACCTTCCGGAAGATCCCAAGCCCAGCCCCATGGGCGGCATGGGCGGTATGGGTGGCATGGGCGGCATGGACTACTAGATATAATTCTCGTGGTGCTGCCGGCGTGGGTGCGGTTACGACCACTCAGGCGGCCGTGGGTGGGCTTTGGAACTAAGGCCGCATTAGGTGGCGATTTGAGATTGAGTGGTACTGTACACGAGGATGCATCATGACGAGCAGTGGGTTGGGCTTGGAAGTTTTACGTAACTGCATTCTGCAGAGTAGGTTCTTTAGATGTGCACATAGCTGTGCCCTGCCCTTAGTTGGGGAGGGAGAAGCTAGGCTCCAAGAGGATGAATAATACCTCTTGTTCATAAGAAGTGCAAGTTTAACTGGATGGAGTTTTGGGTTCTACATTTTATTTCTGATTTAATTTCATTGCATCGAGCAAACTGATTGAAGTCATTCAGGTTCTGATTGAAGCAAATTGAGGGTTTGGTAGTATTTTACGTGTATTATAATTATTCGCTGACTTACCACTTTGAACCGCTCGATACTCAGCAGTATAATAAGCGCTGCTGAAACTACAAAACAACCGTTCTGATACGTCCTCGTCAAGTTGCCCCTAATCCAATCAGAACCCCGCCTTGCGACTCGGACCAGTAATTTTGCGGGGCAAATTGCCAATATTTCATGTAGCGGGCAGCTCAAATGCTTGGTGGTGACCGTGTCAGGGGCAATTGCAGCTGTCAGACCTTTGGCCTAGGCAACATCGCAGAAATTACCACCCACTTCGTTTTGCCTTCCTGACCAGCTGTGAGTTTTCCTACCCATGCTCTTCTTTGGTCAATGAGGCAACCCAGCGAACTCCCCTCGATGCGAATCGGGCCAGACGAGCCGCTTGGTTACCAGCACTTCGGCCGGCCAATCCCTGCTTGAATTTCATCCACGTGCACCGAGATTCGCATACCCTTACGAAATGATTTCTGGGTTAGCCTGCCCAGGTCCAAGTCTCCAACGCAACGTGCTGGCTTTGTGCGACAGTGAAGCACAGATCGCCTCGCCACATCTGACACCAAGAGAAGCGTCGCAGAGGTTTCAGCGAACCCATTCCCGCCTGTCGCAAAGCGTTCGCAGGGCTACTTGGCGCTGCGCCAGCTCGTCAATCTCCCCCACCTTGCGAACCTGGAAAACGCCATCCACCAGCAAATCGTGTGGAACAATCAGCGAGCCGCGCATTCGCCAACGGCATTTCCTATCACATTGTTCAGCGCAACTCGACGCGAGCCTCCAAGTCTGTTCCAGGCGTATCTGCATCGCTCTGTTGCACCTTCATGCCACAGCCCTCGTCAACTAGCGACCCGTCGAAGTTGGCGTCGCATTGAACCATTATCTCAATAAGCTTGCTTTCCACTTTGGCATTCGAAGCCATCGAACCAGCACCATCCACTCGATATCTCGGAAACGAAAGCGACACGCGTACTAGCGACGCTCGCAACTTTCATTCACAGCTATACTCTGTTAGAAGGGTGGCAGCGCGTGACGCGCGGAACAAAAGCACGCGATAACGACATAGAAAGGTGGAATCAAACAACGGCCACTTTTTAACGCGACGGCATGGCAACGCGTTGTGTACGAATGCTGGAGCTACGGTCGCACGCTCTGATGCTCACCGTAGCATTCGCAATAGTAGCGCTCTCGACTGTTACAGAGTCAGCCTCTTTCGGCGACACGGGACGAGCAACGGCCACCTTTTATGGCAGCGGCGACGGTGAGGTTTTTTCTTTATTTCTTTCTTTCTTATTTTCGGTTCGAACTTACTACGGAGGAACTGTAACGCAGTTAGTACCGCACCCTCATCTCACTTTCGTGCTACTTTCGTCTCTTGCCACCTTGATACATTGTAACTTGTTTCGCTCACTCGCATCCCAATTCCCTTCAACGATGTGCTGATAGGTGGCAATTGCGGTTACGGAGTCCTTGCGGAATCCGGCTACGGCCCGCTCATCGCGGCGGGAAGTGCGCCGCTTTACAAGGGCGGCAAAGGCTGCGGCGCCTGCTACAAGTAAGTCAGTTCTGCTCCACCCGTTGACCGTCTCTCGACCATCCCTCCCTTGAATATCAAGATCTCATCCTTTCTTCCCAATGCGATCAACACAGAAATTTCCTTCGCTTAGTTATCCCCTCAACACAGTCACCTCATGATCTTCCAAAAATTCATCCCTTCCCTTCTTCCTTTTCCCCTCCCCATCCCCCGCCCCGTTTTCCTTTCACCGCCGCAGGGTGCGGTGCGTGAACAGCCGGTGGTGCAAGCACGCAGGTATCACGGAACCCATACCCCTCTCTCCCTCTCTCTCTGTGATCCGCTCTCTTCTCCCCCAGGGTGCGCTGCGTGGACAGCAAGTGGTGCAAGGACGCGGAAATCACGGTGCCAATAACGGACTTCTGTCCGGGCGGCGGAGTGTGTTGCGCCACGTGCACGCACTTCGACCTCAGCCAGCCCGCGTTCGGCATCATCGCGGACCCCGTCGCAGGAGTCATTCCGCTCGCCTACCAGCGGTGAGTCATTCCACTCACCAACCAACGGTGAGCACGCATGGGTCCAAAGGTGGGGCGACGCTTGTTTCGTCCCGTACCAAGAGGTGAGCACACGAGTATTTCCTTTCATCGCGGACCCAGTCGCGGGAGACATTCCGCTCGTCTATCAGCGGGGAGTCATTCCGCTCGCCTACCAGCGGGGAGTCATTCCGCTCGCCTACCAGCGGTGAGCCACAAGCAAGTAAGGCCGCCTGTGTAGCACTGGTGAGCACACATGGGGCCAAAGCTGGTACCGCAAGCACACGATTATTAGATTTCACGGCAGTTGTCATGTCGTTTCAAGCTCCTGATCGCAAACAAACAAAAGCTTCGCCTTTTCTCTCCGTCACTCCCCTTCACTCTCCGTCACTCTCCGTCACTATCCGTCAATCTCCATCACTTCCCGTTCCCCTTGTTTCCCCGAACCAGCACACAATCCCTTGCTCGTTCCCCACATCAGTCGTGTTCACTTACCTATTCAAACTCCTTTCCTCCCTCCTATCCCAGAATTCATTTAATCCCCTCGCAGGGTGCCGTGCTCGTTCCCCACCTCCATCACCTTCCGCGTGACCGGCACCAACTACTGGATGAACGTGCTGCTGCTGCGCGTGGGGGGGGCTATCGCAAACCACTCTCTTTCCCCTCCTCTGTGCTACTATCCCCTAACTCCCCTCGCAGGGTGCCATGCTCGTTCCCAACGTCGATCTATCACGTTCAAGCCCCTGTTTCTAACCTCGCTATTTCCCCTCCTGTGCTTATGCCCCTGTAATTCCCGAATCCCCTCGCAGGGTGCCCTGCTCGTTCCCCACGTCGATCACCTTCCGCGTGACCGGCACCAACTACTGGATGAACGTGCTGCTGCTGCGCGTGGGCGGGCCGGGGGAGGTTGCTCTGGTGGAGGTGTCATCTAAGAACGACCCCAACTGGCGCCCGCTAACGCACGACTGGGGCACGAATTGGGTCAGCTGGACATATATCGAGGGGCCGTTGAAGTTTCGGCTTACATCGGGGATGGACGGGGCTGTGATTACAACGGGGGAGAATTGCGTTCCGGCGATTTATCCTGGGGATTACACTTGCGGCGCGCAGTTCACGAGTGGGTATAACAGTTCGGATACCAACGGGGATGGTGGGAGCAACAGCAGCGTGGGGAACAGCACAGAAGTACCTGAGAAGAAGAACGGCGACAATGGCAATAGCGGGAATGCCACTAACGGAGACAGCAACAACACCACCAACAACAGCAGCTCGACAGTACCTACCCCGTCAGCAGTACCCCCAGCAACAACGTCCCCAGCAACTACCGCACCAACAACCACTCCTCCTGTAACAACCCCCTCTGCAACAACTGCCCCTGTAACAACCACCAACCCTGAAACAACCGCCCCTGGAACAACCGCCTCTGGCACTACCGCCCCTGCAACAACTCCTCCTGTAACAACTGCCCCTGCCACAATTCCTGGAACCGAAGGCTCCTCCTTCGGCCGAAGCAGCACTGCTGGTGGCGGCCCCACCACCGGTACTCCCAATGCTGACGTGTCCCCTGCCGCGTCAGCATCCTCTCCTGCTCCCACCGGCCGCAAGGTCAATGCGGGCGGCAGCAGCACTGGCAGCCAAGGCAGCAGCAGCAGCAGCAGCAGCAGTGGCAGTGGCAGCAGCAGCAGCGGCAGTAGCAATGATCCCACCATCCCCTCAACCCTCATCCCCCCTCAAACCGGAGAAGACGTTCCTATAGCGTCGCAGACCACAGGGGGTGTGACTATACCGAATGCCAGCTACAGCATCGACTCAAACGGAGGAGCCGCCACCAGCAGCAATGCCCAGGTGGGGGCGGGCGGCACTGCAGCAGCAGGAGCAGTAGGTGCTGGTAACCCTGTAACTGCAGGTACAGTGAAGCGTGGGAAGAAGGCGAGGAGTGGAGTGGCGCCGGCTAAGAAGGCAGGAGGGGGGCACCCTGCAGGGAAAGGGCACAGAGCTGGTAAAGGACACCATGTGAAGGGCCAGCCAGTCTTGGCTCGGTAACACTTGGCTCGGTAACACTTGGCTCGGTAACACTTGGCTCGGTAACACTTGGCTCGGTAACACTTGGCTCGGTAACACTTGGCTCGGTAACCCTTGGCTTGGTAACACCCAATTTGGTGATACTTGGCTCGGTAACGCCCTGTTGGCCCGACAACTCTTGGCGCGGCAACACTCGGCTATGTAATGGTAGGCATGGTAGCAGTTCATGTGTTTATAGGTTTGGTCAACATGGCTTCAGTTACAGCAGGGATAGGATACTAGGCTAAGCATATGGCGTATTTGATTTTAGATACATAGGTTGCTTGCGTGGCAACCTTGCCTTGTGTATGTCAACATGGCTTGTGATGTGAGATTGGTTAAACCTGAGTGCTACACATGCGCATGATGACACATGCCCATGATAACACATGCCCATGATGACACATGCCCATGATGACACATGCCCATGATGACACATGCCCATGGTGACGCATGCCCATGATGACGCATGCCCATGGTGACGCATGCCCATGATGGCACATGCCCGTGATGGCACATGCCCGTGACGGCACATACCCATGATGAAACATACCCATGATGACACATACCCATGATGACACATACCCATGATGACACATACCCATGATGACACATACCCATGATAAGGTTGTACACCCGTAAGTGGATTGGTACCGTATGTGTGTTTCAATGGATGGACAGTTAACACACCGAATCTTCCCCTGTTCAAACGACACAAGCTAATTGGGCTGATTGATTAAGATAAGCAATGCTCAAATGCACATTGTAAGATCATAATTCTCTTAAAATCCCATCCAAACACAAACAGCCATTACACAAAACCCTGGAACAAAACCAACATGCTTCATCCCACTCCTTTCAACTAGAGTGACCTCCCTTCTGTTTCTCCAGGTACCTCCATTCTGCCCCACTTCCGGCTGCGCCAACCCCCCACCCCTCTTCCCCCTTCCACCCCAATGTATCCCCAATACCCCACCCTACCCTAGAATTCTCGGCCAGGTTTTGATCCCACACACTAGTCCAACTCTCGACTCGCCTCAGAAACCATGTTCACCCTGAGTTCCTAACCCTCACTCCATCTTCACCTTTGTGAATCACTTCCGAATCTTCTCTTCCAGCAGCAGATTAGGAACTAATCGAACCGTTAGTTCGCCACATATGGTACTACTCCATGTGCACCCAGAGTTCCTAACCCTCACTCCGTCTTCACCTTTATGAGCCGCTTCTTGATCTCCGCTTCCATCAGCGGCACCACGTACTGGTTCACATAGACAGCCGCAGTAATCGCCCCCGCATGTCCAGGAAACAAGGCCTTCGCCAGCCCTATCGCCGCCTTCTTAGCCGCCTTTTCCACCAGCGCCTTTTGCCTCTCGGGGTCCTTCGCTGCCTTGATGGGGCCTTTCATAACCTTGATTGCGTCCAGAACGGCATCGCTCGCCATTTTCGCGGCCTTGTCTTTCATTTTTGCCGCCTGGTTTTTCACCTTCCCGGTCGTGCTCATATCAGGATACGCCTTGAAAACCCGTTTGGGTTTCGGTGAATCGGCCAACGCGCGCCGGCTAGTAGTACGGGGAGTAATTTGCGCACTGCGTGGCGCCGTGGGATCGGCAGCAGAGAGGGTCAGCTTTTGAGTCGACTCCAAATCAGGACTGATTTGCGCGATTCGTGGCGCCGTGGAGTCGGCAGCAGAGAGGGTCAGCGCGAAGGCCGCAAGGAGGACGAGAAGGAGAGAGAGGTAGCGGAGAGCCATGGCGGATTGGGTATACCGGCGGTATGTATGAAGAATCAATGTGACGCCTGATTGAGTGTGCACAAGACGTACTGCGAAGTGACTTTGCGTGACGTGCGGTAGTGACATGCGATGTGAAAACAGCTGCGAGGAAGTTAGATCCTGATGTGGGAGATTCGAATCCCTGTCAGGAGTTGGATGGGCCTCACAACTGAACTACGAGCTTTTATATACTTCTGGAGGCATGGATGTGCAACCCCAACGGATGCCCATTGGCTGGAAGCTATGAGCTTATTGTCTGGCGTCGCACGGAATAATTGTGACGAATTTTGAATAAGGCAATTACCATTATCCCGACTCGCCAATAAGGAGAAGGGGGGTGCGATTTACGCTGCGGGGGACTGTGGTTTGGTCGCCCGCTTGACGCGGAGGGATTTTTGATTGGTCTTTTGCAGCCGCGTGATGCGGAGCGAGCTTCAATTGAGCTTGTGGCTGGCCGCGTATAACGGTGGAAAGCAGAACATACACTACAAGAAGCAAGGAAACACTTCTCATATGTGTAAATATTATAGCTACTTGGTGATGTGGTGCAGACTCAGAATGTTGGTATCAGATAGATTCTAGGTTTGTGAGGGAGAAGCGGAAATTTGTCTCATTATTTCCACTTGCAATGATGTGCAATGTGGGATAGAGGACCCTTTTAGGGTGTGTTTTCGTTTTTTTTTTTTTTTCATTCTACGAAGTGGCTGTGACCCTACAACTGTAAACGGTACACGGTATCCTCGTGACGAAGGAGTGAATGGTCCTAAACCCTCACCCCTCGCACGCGCAAACGCTGTCCGTTGGATCAAGCTTCAACTCCTATCTTCCCCGATTCCCTTTCTCTTCCTTTCGTTCTCTCACCCATCCTTCTCTCTGTGGCAGTTCTTCTGTGGCAGTCCTTCGAAACACCGGAACCCTATTTTGGCTCCAACGGCTACGGGCTTTTCCCTTTCCCGTAGTTCCATTTCTCTCTCCTCTCCCTCGCCTTGTGGGCAGTCCCCTAAACAGCCGCCGCCATGGGTCGTATGCACAGTCACGGGTCAGTAGATTTTCCGCGCGCTGCGATTCCTTTTTATGTCAGATTGTCAGGGTTAAGGAAAGCCATGCTGACGCGTGTAGTCCGCGTCTTTTCCTCTCTTTGCGTCTGCCTCGGTTAATGCAGAAAGGGTATTTCGCGCTCCGCCCTGCCCTACAAGCGCACTCCTCCGAGCTGGTTGAAGATCTCCGCCCCCGAGGCACGTTCTTTCTCTCCTTAGTGCGATTCTTCTAGATCCTTACTTTTAGGCCACCCGTCGTAGAGAAGCCCAGGAACCCCGAATCAACAAAATTGCATGCGCTAAGGACGAGCTTCTGTGTCTTTCGGAAAGACACAATGCCCGACGCTTTATTTCCGTTTGTGCTTCGCGTCGACCTGGAAAACAAATAGTGTTGGCTGGCATGCTCATACTACCTAGCACATCCGAAAACTCTCGACGAAAGGGTTGAATCTTCGATTCACGCTCTTTCTGACTTTGCGCTTGTTTTTCGTCCACTCATCGCCATCACCCTATGCCAGGTTGACGAGCACATCTGCAAGCTCGCGAAGAAGGGTCTGACGCCGTCGCAGATCGGCGTCATTCTGAGGGACTCGCACGGTATCGCGCAGGTGTCCGGCGTTACGGGCAGCAAGGTCCTGCGCATTCTCAAGGCTCACGGTACCTGACCTGAAAACTCTTCTCTGCTGGGGTAAACCCCCCTCGAATATTCCAACGTCCCTTTCTGTAAGCTTCACTGCGGGCCGCTTGGCCGGAGCAGTGAGCGGTCAGAGGGCGTTATCGGTATGTGCCGCTCCATTCCTCCATTGCACTCGGGCGCTCGTGTTCGTCCAGGTTCCCATTAGAAATTGATGTTTTCGGGTTTAGGTTAAGCTACAGGTTGCTGCTTTTTTCCTTGTCAATGTTTTGGATTTGGAACCCATCAACATTTTGTACTTCGATCGTCCTGGGTCTGGTGCCTGCAGTTTTCGAAAATAAAGGCTTCGGCCCTCAATAAAGCTTTCCCATTCCTTCACCCCCCACAGGCCTGGCGCCCGAGATCTTCGAGGACCTGTACCATCTGATCAAGAAGGCGCTGGCGGTTTGTAATCTTCCCCCCTCCCCCCAACCCGTTCCCCCCCTCCCCACCCGCGCGCCCCCATCCCCCTCCAATAGGTCTTGCACCGGAGATCCCCGAGGACCTGTACCATCTGATCAAGAAGGCGCTGGCGGTGCGCAAGCACTTGGAGCGCAACCGCAAGGACAAGGACTCCAAGTTCCGCCTCATTCTCATCGAGAGCCGCGTGCACCGCCTCGCGCGCTACTACAAGTGGACCAAGAAGCTGCCGCCCAACTGGAAGTAGTGAGTGCCCTTCGTTGCATGTGCTTTCTGAACAATTTGTTCAGTTTTGCTGGTATTGCAACAATATGAGCCGCGTGCACCGCCTCGCGCGCTACTACAAGTGGACCAAGAAGCTGCCGCCCAACTGGAAGTAGTAAGTGCACTAGGACTCTCTCCCCCCCCACCCCGCCCCCCCTCCTCTTCTGTCTCCCGCTCTTCTCTCTCCCTCTCTTCCTCTCTCCCTCTCTCTCCCTCTCCCTTTTTCTGCCTCTCTTTTCTCCCTCCCCCTCCTCTCCCCCCCTCCCCTCTCCTCTATCTCGTTTCATTGTGTGTATGCACTAACACCAATAAGCTGCCACTAAGTGGGAAGCAGTGGTCACCGTTTGAAGGCTTGGAATGCAACTTGAATCCTGCATGCATGACCTACCGTACCTGACTCATCTTCCCTTCTTCCATCCCACCCCCTGTGTGGCTACCTTGCAGCGAGTCCGGCACTGCCAGCACCCTCGTCGCTTAAGCTGGAAGCATGGATGCTGCTCCTTGTGCTCTCGTTCTGGTCCGCCCATAGGTGGGCTGCACTGTATTTTGGAATTATTTGAGTTACCAGACTTTCCTGTGTTGAGTGATTATGAAAGAAAATTGCAGTCCGTCCAAGTGAATCAAGTGAGGCAAGGAAGCAAGTACACCAAATTCCTTCATCTTTTGGTGCTCGTTTTGGAAGTAATGAAGGAGAGTTATTTTTTCTTGGCGATGCCATGTCAGCTAAGATATCTGAAGATAGTTTAGATATATTGTAATGACTTCTCATTAGGGGTGTTTATTGTCACGCACTCATATTAGCAATAGTAACTAAAAAATATTTTACATGGGGAAGATAGCCAAACTAGACTAATAAAGTAACTACACTCGCACAACCCAACCTCCAACTGCGGTTGAGCCTAACGAGAGTTCGGGGGAGAGACGAGAGCCGCGACATCCTCGTCCCAATCTGACGAGTACTCAGGTTCAGGCTCTGCGACGAAGGCAGGCTCGGCCGGCAGCAGCGCCTGCTGCGAAACGATCGACAGCTGCTTCATCTCCTCGTCGTCGCCCACCACCAGCTCGCGAATGCCCTCGTGCAACGACACCAGCTACTGCACGCAACCATGGTGAGAGAGTGAAGAAAATATAAACATGTTGAGGAGTCGCGTAGGAAGGAAAGATACCAGCAACGACGGATAGAGGCGAACAAATATTACAGGGATGGAAAGGGGCAAGGGGAAAAACAAGAAACGGGGGAGGTCCGGGGAGGATGGGGGAACTAAGGTACGCAGGGGAGAAGTTATGTACCGCGGCGTTGTTGCGCGCGGATTGCGCGATGACATCGAGGGCGAGGATGGGGAACGGATTCTCGATAATGACGCCGACCTCCTCGATGCAGAAAAAGACTCCCGCGCACATGGCGGTGACGGGGATCGTGAGCCAGCCGAGGGGGTCCCAGAGCGCGAGCGGCAGGAACATGTGGTAGAGCATGAGGAATCTCGAGGTGAGGCGCGTGTAGGAGAGCGGGATGGGCGTTTTGAACAGCCTCTCGCTTGTTGGAAGGAAACGGTGGTGGGGCGGTGGTATGCCCCCAACCCACCGAGGGCACTTCGGTGCCTTCGATCCCTTTGACTAGGGATCGGTGGGGTGGCACCGATTGACTTCGGGAGACTCACCCTTCGGTGCCACGTGGCGGCACCACATTCCAACCTTCAAGTGCAAGGCGAATTCGGTGTGTTCGGTGTGAAATTCGGTGGTCGAATTTCACCCCAACCGAAATGTTACACGCGGCGCATTCGCGACGCGAGTGTAGCGATGTGATGTTACATGTGCGGTTCGATGTAATGCATTTGCTATAAATCGACCTGCCTTGTATGCATGCTTTATACTGAAATCCTGAATCTTCTTGTACATGGTCCATTCGAACCAGAATTCCAGAGAGGTCTATCCTTGCTTCTAAGAGCACTAGCAATCACGTGAACGCCAATATCTCGGCGTATACTTGGGCGATTAACGTGTTTGACGGCTTGTTGGAAAGCCAAGACTGTGCTCTATCGTTTAGTGCAACTTAGAGTTCCTGCAAAGTAGAGGAGACGCCTCTACAACACCGCTCTCACCACGAATAAACCCGTCTTTGCTCCGTTTCACGCTTTGTTTCAAACACAGGTCGCCACGAACCGAGTTTGAATCTCTTACCCTGCGCCCTCCAACCACCTCATCCACCATGGATGCCCTTTCCACGCACTCCACTGTCGGATCATCTACTACCGAGGCGGTTTCGGAGGACAACGTGGATGCTGATGGAGTCTCTCCAGCATAAGACACTTCAGTCGCATTGGCCTGTGTTGCTGCGCTGTCGGAGTTGCTTTCAAGAGGTATATTGGCTCCTGAACGGGTGTTTGGGAGGATGGCTTTTGGGACGAAGATATCTAACAATGCGGCGGCGTTACTAATGCGCTGATAAAGAGTGTGGAGAGAAAATAACAAAAACGACGGGACTGCTGATTAAGGCACCTACCGATATATCGAGAAGCATATTGACGTGCCATCTTCTCCACGCCGCATAGCTCTGCCGCCAAAGCTTCTTCCCCGAGACTTCCGGCGGCAACTCTGAGGTTAATGCGTGCGGAGGAAGCCTCTTCTATTTCGAGAAGCTCTGGAAATACGGCCTTGACATTGTCGAATATCTCGTTCGCTTCACCCTGCCCGAGTGAGGCGGTGTCACTGGCGGTGTTCCTGCAGCGTTGCGTCCCACGAACCAGAGTTGACGTCAGAACCAAGGTGCATTAGAAAAATGTGGGGACTGCTTTTGAGTCGACTCAAATGCGTCCCACGAACTGGCGTTGACGTCAGAACCAATAGCCATCAGAAAAATGTGGGGACGTGCGAACTGTAGAGAGAATGCTGATGAGTTCGTTTGAAACCGGGTGCGGTGTGTCTGAGATACGGTAACAATATCTTCCTAGTATTGCCATTTCGGGGGGGGGGGGGGGGGTGGGGGGGGGTTACGCACCCATCGGCCAATGTAGCGGCGGAGTCTCGTGCAGAATAATCCATGTGGCTTGCGTAACGAACAGAAGGGCAACTGACGCGTAAGAAATATATTGCTGGAAAATGCCAGGCAGGGAAGCGACTGCTTATCGAATATGGCGGTTGTAAGGCAAATATGGCAGGCAAATATGACCACGATCGTGTGGTCGCGTCGGGGCTGCAAGTGAGTGGGATCGGAGCTGGACGGAACACCCAAGGCGCTTTGAATGAGTTGGAGTGGGGGGGCTCAGTTCTCCGCTGGTTCGGGGAGGAGATGCGCTGCTTGAGGGGCTGAAGAAATGTCTGGGGGCATTGACTTGGAAGTTGGATTCGAATTTTGAATTTGGCATTTGAGTATTGGTGCAGCTTGAATTCAAATTTCCCGAATCGCGGTTCCGCAGGAAGGCTACACCGAAAGTCACTATCTCAAATGTTAACGACCATAAGCCAAAGACAAATCAGAGAAAATGGTCATAATAATTGTTGGATCGTGAACACGTTAGTGAAAAAATCGCAATAAAAATACACCCCATCTGTCAGCTACCTCATTGTGTTGAACTCACTCAACCCCACCAACATCATATGAGCTGGTTTTTCTTAACCCTAATTCAATCACTTTTGCGGTGTATGGCAAGAAGTGTTATAGAAAGTGCTAAACAAAATCTCAAAGCGAACCTTCTGCATTATATGCGCTTTCCTTTCCGCCCGTGTTGTACGGATCACGAATTCAGCAATCACACGCCGACGACAATTATGCAAGGAGTGCAGAAGTGCTTGCATTCCTCCTCGCTGGTAAGTAGGATGACAATTGCAAGCACCCGCCGGGTTCGCCGCTCACGCCTTAACTTGCGGCGGGTAACGACGAACTCGCTGCTGCGGGGCGCACATTCTCCCAGCTCATCCTCCGCTCATCCGTCCCTATATAAGTGTCTGCATTAGTTGTAATTTAGCATCAGATCCACATCGATAATCCCCTCATTGCGAGTCCTTCAGACTGACTCACACCGTAAGATACTGACATTCCGAAGTGGCACCCAACGGTAGTTAGCATTTTCTCATTTTTCGCGACGAATCTCCAGGCTCATCATACCAGCTTCCCGCGAGACCCTAGCAGCCTCCTTCAAGGATACTAGCAATGGCTATCCGTCGCCTTTTCCTCGTCGCGCTTCTGTGCGTTTCGGTGCTCGCAGCGCTGACCCTTACCACCACGGCCTTCGAGCTTCGCGGCACTCCGGAAGATAGCGGCGCGACTCGTAGAAAAACTGTTGCTAGCAGGCGATCCCTCGCGGATTCACCGCGTTATGTCGCCATGCCGAGCTCTCCCAAGGCGAGCAGGTGGAGCAAGGCCAAGAAGGCTTGTGTAGGTGGGGCCAAGAAATGCGCGAAACTCGTCGCCGACAAGGTGACTTTCAAGGATGTGGCCAAAATGGCGGCCAACGAGGCGGCTTCGGGCAGCGGGATGGCGATCGACGCGGCGGGAGGCGTCGCAGCCGCGCGGAAGGGGGACAAAAAAGGCGTCAAGAATGCAGCGGTGAATGTCGCGAAGGGCGCTGGCTCACTCGCGGCTGCCGCGTTGGTTCCGCACGGCGCGCTCGCGTTCAGCGCGACGAGCTTCGCGGCGGGCAAGGCGAAACCCCACGTGGAAAAAGCGGTGAAGGAGCAGAAGGAGAAGCGTCAGGAGAAGCGCAACAGCAGCTTCCACCAGATGAAGTAGGCTGTCAAGCGGTGAAGGAGCAGAAGGAGAAGTATGCATATACAAGTAGGCTGTCAAAGCCGTCGGGGGGGGGGGGGGGGGGGAGGGGAGGATGGGAGGGGGGGAGAGGGGGAGGGGGGGGGGTTTGGGGGGGTTGGGAGTGTGTCTAGGCTAATCTGAAGAGAGAACATGGTTTCCTTTTTTGGACTATAGTGATAAATTTCCCTTCCTCTCAGGGCATGCCACGGTGATTCATAGAAAACGAACAACTAGCATAAACACACATAAGTTCTTAACAGACATATTATCTCTCCGTGAATACAGGGTCCGGCCTCGCTCTACATGGCGGGCTCGTCACCAAGGACCGTGTTAGTGTCACTGGCGAAACACAGTGCAGGAGGCTCACGGCTAGGGCCTAACGATGATTGAATGATGTTCCTAACGAAATTATTTGACGACTAGACACGTTCCTTTTTGGTGCAACCAGAAAACTTCAATAATTTTACAACGAAGCCAATATAACGCCGAACATCTAGTCGCTAGACAAGTGTTGCCTAGTAAAGAGAAGAGAAAGCGAGCATTTTCCAGAGGGGGTGTAGGCGGACAGGAAAGGGTAGGATAGACGCACTAAGGCATGAAAGAGGCACGCTGTGAAAATATTTCGAACACATACAGAGTGCAACCTGACCTGGCATATAGCTGATCACTAGGGGATGAGGAGGGCTGGCATGTTTGAGATGTGCTTTACCAGATGCTTCATTGGGATTTATTACAAGAACTGAGAACTAGCACAAATATACAAACAAAAAAAACAAATATTTCACACTGCATGACTCTCAAAAGCAGCCCTGATTCCCCAACAGCCCACAGTACGAATGTTGGCAACGCCTTCACATGCCGCCCCTATCTTTTTTTTTCCGTCTAGCACTCTTTAGCAGGTTCAGAAATCTGAACTAAGGCAGTATCTGGCCTTTCCTACAAGCGTTTCAGAAGCAATGAGAATTGTGTAGAGCTTAGTCCGAATCCTTGTTAGAGCATCTGCACTGTTGTCTCCTCGATTCGATTCCTTCTTACACCAGTTGCACCGGAATCTGCGCTTTGAGGTTCCGCTTGCAGTCGGACGAGACGGAGCTTCCGAAGTAGAGAGTCTGGCCCTTGTCGCCGTCCTTCACGGTGTACGAGTAGAAACCGATATACGACGCGGAGCTGAGGGTCCTCGCGAGCGTGAAGTCGCACACGGCGTAGCTCGCGCCATCGCTGAACATTACCACGTTGTGAGGCATCACCCACCGGAAAACTGAAGGGTTTGACGGGGGACCATGGGAGAAGCGGGGGAAGAGAAATCGTATTTTCAGGAGGGCGCAAGAAGTTACTCGCCGGAGGAAGCAGGAACGTAGATCGCGAAAACCAAGCAGTTACTATGCTTCAAGAAAAATGCTATTCTGATATTGAGAAAAAAAGACTAAAAGTCACGTGACGGCAAAACGGACATACTGTGTCAGTATCGTTCGCACTAATATCAGAACCACTACTGCGACTGACCAAGCTGATCGCCGGCGTAGACTTTGGGCGCCTTCCACTTGCTCACACCGAATGTCCACGGGCTGAACACCTGCCCGAAAAACGACCCGCTGCCCTTCCCCACCACGATGTACTTCGCGTCGGCCTGCATCGCGCCTGGAGAAAACGCAGCAACAAAAAAAAAAATAGAAACACGGGATTTCCAGAGAGAGAGAGAGAGAAAAAAAACACATCTATCACAGGGTCGCACAAATCTACCACATCAATTACGCATCGGCTTGAGAATGGATATTTGAGAGTGAGTGAGTGCAGCTGGAAGAAGCGGCAATGACAGTCCAGCGAAAAGGAAGCGGATGGAAGGATGACGGAGGAGCTTGGCGGGCAAAACTTTCGCCGGTTGAACGACAATTCGGTCGACTTACCTAAGAGCATGAGGCACAGGAGAACGCACACGTGTCGCCCTAATCCAGCCATTTCGTTTGCTCCCCGACAAGGATTGTGGCTCTAGCTGAAATGGTATCCTAAGTTTGTTTGACAAACGCAAGAAACTCAGATAAACTCTTATGAGATGAGCGCGAAAAATATCTGACAATATTGGTGCGTGAATTGAGACGACGAGCTCAGCTTTTGTAGTTGGGAGGTATCCTTCTGTCCGATTGTCTTGTTGATGGGAGGTGCTTGATTGCGGAGCTGTGCATCGACGATGCATCTGCCTGAGGGCAAGAACAGGAGCTATTTTCTTGCTTTGCACCGTCAAATCTTGAACCTCTTCGCCGCCCATCAAACGTTCGCGAACCATAGCTGATGTGCACAAAGAAGAAACGAAGCGAGATACCTCTAGTCGTTACGTTCGCATGCGTACCATGCGAATCACGCGAAAGGGAACCTTCGAATGCCGGGTGTATAAGGGCAACGATGGCTGCAAGATGCACTCGCATAAGAATGTTGCAAATGTAAATCTGTTGCGGCTCGGAGGCAGCCGAGTCGCTTATGTACAAACTCACTGCTGCTAGTGCAAGAAGTATATGGGTATTGTTTAGGCGTGTATTGAATAACTCTGGTAGAACGTTCTCCCTCCCTGAAACAACGGTTCGTACTTCAACCTCTCGCGGGACACTGCTCATGGCTACTAAACCTCAACACCTCTGCTCACTTGCAACGAGATGTACCTACCAGGACTCCCATCGGTTCCAGAACCCAACCTCCCAACTCCATGATTCTTTTACCCAATCACTTCGTGGGCCTTGAGTAGCGTTGTCTCATCAGTCAGTCTCTGAGTACTTACGCTTGGAATCCGCTTGTTTGCTTTTAGAAAACCTCAGCTCCTTAAACGGAAAGAGTTCAAGGTACAATACACTAGACTAATGCTGCTGCTGTCGGGTGGTCACCGACAATGGGTGAGACCGCAATGGTCGGCGTGCCTTCCGCTGTCGCTGCAAAGCTGAACCACCCACAAACCAACAAGCCAACACAAAGCTACCACGTCAGCGTGTGCCATGGAACGTGGGAGCCAGAAGTGCCGCATACGCGTCACTGTAATAGTCGGATTGAGATAACGAATACAACATTGCTTTATATTTTGATAAGACTTTCTGTAGATCTTTAGCAGACCTCAAATTAACCTACCGGACCTTGCTGTTAGCTCTGATTTCCACAATATTGATTCAGATGCATGTGTCCAACTAGATTATGGTAATCCGCATAATAAAACTGACTACTGAACAAGAAGATGCATGTGGAATATCTGTACCCATTATAAGAACAGCTTGTACGGTTCTCACAAAATTACCCCCACACCTCATCACAAGCGTGCACCACCACCACCACGCACAGGCAGACTGAGCTCTTCGCCTGAAGGCAGCGGTGCAAAGAGGTCCGAGACGGTGCGCGCCGATACCTGGGAGAGCTGAGCCGGGTTCCACTGCACAGGTAACAATTAATGAAACATGTGCGAAAGACTTATCACACGTGTGTTGCACAGTGTAACAATCCATGCTAAGATTCTCTGGAACTAACAAAACAAAATCTCAAATCCTTCCACCACCCACACCGCCCAAATAGAACGCAAACATCTCAAATCAAATGACGCTCACGTTCCTCAAAAGCACCACAACACCTCCAAAGCAGCAACACACGCCTCATACCCTCCTCAACATCCTCTTATCAACTTCTCACCACCTCCTTTACACAGGCTCACATGCTCAGCCGATACTCCTTCTGCAGGCACTGCGCCAGACTCTCCATCCCCTAAGTCCTAACATGACCCATGAACCACTGACATGACAACCAAACCCCAACCCGGAACACCTGATATTGTGCCCTTTCCATTCCACTCCCCTCACCCTCCCCCATCTCCCTCTCCCTAGCTGAACCTTCAAGTTCTGCAGTCTCACCTTGGGATTGCCATCCTTAACCACCAGCACGGCCCGCACGCCCTCGTAAAAATCCCCCGTCACCGCCTCGTTACAAGCGCGCACGCTCAGCCGATACTCCTTCTGCAGGCACTGCACCAGACTCTCCATCCTGCCGTCCCTCACGCTCCTAAAAGACACTTTTAAAGCCGTCGGCGACATTTTTGCGAGCAGCGCATGGGTCTCCTTCGCCCACACTGCATCGTCAGCGCTCCACCCCGGGTGCGTCGCTGACGTGGCAGACGCGTGATTTAAAAGAGCGGTGAAAACTCCCTCCACTGTTCTTTTACTGAAACAGGCTTCAATCGCAGCGGCCCTTGCTATAATCCCCCCTTTAGTGGGAAGCACACGTTCAGCATGCTCCTGAATGGCCAAATGGATTGCTTCGGGATCTCCCGTGCCTAGGCACCCGAGCCTGTTCTCGAGGCTCGGCAGGCGGTCGGAAGGTACGAAGTGGGTGGCTAGGCCCAAGGCAAGCATGTCAGGTGCGGGAACCCGGGCTCCAGTTAGGGCTAAGTACTCTCCTGCAGGGATGAAGGAAACATGGAATGGGGGGAAGAAGAAGGGGGGGAGAAACGAGGGAGGTTGGAAGTACGAAATTCAAGGTCTTGTGATTAACCGCCATTCCTCGGACAGGATTGGGCTGTTAGATGGTGTTACCATGACTTACGGATTCAGAAGTTTTCTTGGAAAGCAGACATGCGGAAACGCATTGGTTTATGGATGCTGTATGTGAGCACAATTAGCTGTTGTGAACAGTATTCTGGGTTCCTTATAACCAGCCCAAGAGCAAAGGGGGATGGATGAAGGAGGGTGAGGAACGAGGCGGAGGAGGCCACGCACCCATGTGGCCGGGAAGGCGAGAGAGGAAGAAAGAGGCACCGACGTCGGGATGCAGGCCAATGGCGGTTTCAGGCATGGCAAAGACCTGATGGGGGAAGAGGTGAAGCGAGGTGAGGTGAGGTGAGGTGAGGTGAGGTGAGGTGAGGTGAGGTGAGGTGAGGTGAGGTGAGATGAGGTGAGGCAAGAGGAATGAAGGAGGTATAAACACTGAAATGTTGCGCACACCCATTCACACCCACTCACAGC